ATCAATATGAATAAATATAACCAGTTCTAAGATTTTTTATAAAAATACAAAATTTTTAAAAATCTTTATCTACAAAGAAACAAATAACTCCACATTAAGATTAACAGATTACCAATTAAATTATTTTAAAGTATCACAATGAGTATATATCTTTTATACTCAGATTGGCTTTCTGCTAAATTGTCTACATAAAAATGATGATGGTACAACACTATACGGAGAAGGAAGGATGGGAGGGAGGAGATGACTGATGAAAGAGGAAGGAAGAAACTAAGGGGGGATGAAGGAAGGAGAGAGAAGAAAAGGAGGAAGAGAAGTTGTGAGGGAAGGAAGAAGAAAAAGAGAAGGCGGAGGTTGGGAGCCAGGCAGGAAGGGCAAAGGAAGAGTGCAGGCAAAAATAACATTTGAAAGCATTTATTTTAGAGGAAATGTCTCTTTCCGCTGTTTTCCACATTTATTGGAAAAGACAATCAATCCTTCCAACAGTAATATCGGATAGGAAATTTGACCTTCACACCAAATAATCATGATGAAGAAGTGAGATTTAATCAAATAAAAGTTAACCATAAAACAAGAACACTGCTTTCTATACTAAATAATGTGTGACCTTCTTTTCCCCCTTAGACAGTCACTAGAGAAAGTAGCTCAGAGATAAAAATTATTCCCTCCGTGTAAATAAAATGTTGTGAATATAGGAATTCATATGAAAAACTCAGAGATATTGAATTTCCATCAACCCTCCCCCCCCAAAAAAAAGTTGTTACTCTCTCATAGACATTGGAGTTTTATCATTTTTTATTCATTTTCTTGGAGACTAATCAGCATTTACTCATCTCTGATTGCCTTTTCTGTGTTACTTTCTTTCAAAGGATTCAAAGCTAGAAACACACAGTGATGCTTATGTATTCACTTGTTGAGTGATGACGGCATTATTTAGGCTTGACAGTCTTGTTGCCTGACTGCACTATTTCTCCACAGGACCTGAAGATGCTGGAAGACAAGTGTTGGCAGAATAGAATGGAAAACTGAGATTTACAAGTCAGATGAAGTGATCTGCTAAAACAGAAAACCAACCAACCAACCAAACAAACAAACAAACAAACAAAATCTCACACAAAAAAGTCATTGCTAATATTGTAATATTATCTTGTGGGAATCTGAGGGGTGGTATGTTGCAAAGACCAAGACCAGGAAGGTCCAGGATGGTGGGCACAGTATCAGTTTGCTGGGTAACCCTCACACTTACAGAGGCAGGGGAGGGAGGAGATAACAGCACCCCATTTAGAGCCCTGTGTGACCTTTACATACTGAAACCTTCAGTCTCTGTCTGCAGAATCTAATGTAGACTTAGATCATTCCTAAAGAAACTTCGAGGATTGAAGTTTAGGAAAATAAAATTAAGTAGATCCTAAGTGGTGCACTTAGCAATCAGAAGCCAAAACAAACAAACAAACAAAAAAAAAAAAACAAAAACAACAACAAAAAAAAAACAAAGAAACTCTTTTTTTTAGGAAGTGGAAAGTCTCTACAAATGGGATTTCATGTGCTGTTATATCATACAATAAAACCTATGCAGACAGAACATGTTCTGAAACAGCTCTATCTTAAGATTTTTTTTTTTTTAACTATTTGACGTATTTTACTTTGTGTCATTGAGACAGTGTGTCATGTACCCCAGGAAGGCACTAAGTACACTATTTTGCCATTCAAGAGATGGACTTGAACTACTGATCCTCCTACCTCAGTCCTCCAAACACTAGGGTTGAAGGTGTGCTTCTGCATGCTTGCCTAATAACTGAACTTTATCATTTAATGCCGGTGCTATACATCAGAGGAACTTACATGAACCAAACAACCTCAGTGTTGCTGTTGTTGTTTTAAAACCTAAGAAAACTGTCTACATCTTCGTAATAATCATCATAGCATCTCTAAACACCAGTGCCTCTTTATAAAGGCAATTAAAGAATTGGGGCATAGAGAATTGAGGCTCACTTAAGAATCATAACTCTGGATCATTGTCAGAGATTAAAATGATATTTTCTTGATTATTTAAACAAAAAGTAATTTATACTACAGAACCTGTGGTCTATTATTGGCATGCTAATAATTGTGACACATTAAACACTGTTATCTCTTTAAGGACTGCACTAGGCCATAATCTGCTTTACACATAGATGGCAAGCTAATCAGATTAAAATCCTCCTACTGTCCTACTACCCTCCTAGTGCATTTAGAAGGAGAGCCAAGCTCCCTAACTCAGCATATGCAGCCCTTTGGGACTGGACATTCATGCAGCCTGCTCAGCCATTCCTTTCCTCTCTGCCTGCTCCCTTCACTCTTCCTGACAAGGAATGGTTCCTCCAGCCTGAATTGTTCTCTTCTGGGTGTGCTCACGAATTTTCCACAGATGCTTACATGGTAGTGTAAACGTGACCTCCACAGTCATATTTTAGGGGACAAGCCGCTTTAAGGCACTGACAAACACACTCTCCTTGATCGAACCCTGCACAAGTCTTCTTTTCAGACAAGCCCCTCCTTAGACCCTGCATGATCTGCCTAGGACAATCTGTGACTAAAGAATCCTGTCAGTCATGCTGCCTGCTAGTATGTGACTGATAGTACAGCTCACGTCTTTCCCATAGTGCAGTCTTCATCTGTAACTAGCAACTAGCATTTGCCTCTTTTTCTTCCTTCTTTCCTTCTTTCTTCCCTTCCTTTCTTCCTTCCTTCCTTTTCTTTTTTTTTTCAGGAGCCACTCAGTCTCCACATATCCAATTACCCTACATTAATTACCAACACAAGTATTCTCTATGCCATCATCTAGAGGTTGGCTTATTTACACACTACAATGCAAAGCTGGGAGGCAAAGACATCATCTCTCTTGACTACTGATTTCCTGCTTTTGACACCTCAGCCCACTGCTAGCCTAGCATTCTAGTCTCAAGACCCTAAGTTGAGTGGAACACTTCTTGCAAAATGTGTAACATGGTAAGAACATGCACACCTCACACCGAGGAATGCTGCAAGTTAGTCATGCGTAAGTTTCATTATAAAAAGTCAGAAACATAAAACAAACATTACACACTATTTCCTCTGGTTGCTTATTTAACCATCACATTTTTTTCCCTAAGTGTACATATTACTTTTACAATCAGAAAAACTTGTTTTAAAAAGCACTGAGAAAAGTTGTTTCATAAAATGACACTTTGGGGTATTTTAAAATGTTTCTCTTTAGGGAAAAAATGATACACATTTATTTACTCCTCAAGACTTGAATCTTTGGTGGTGTGTACATTTAATCCTAAAACTGAGAGACATTAGGAGGTGGATCTCTGTTAACTTCCAGGCCCCACTGGTTTACATAGTGAGTTTTAGACCATGCAATGAAACCCTATCTAAGAAAAAAAAAAAAATGAAGAAAAGAAATGAAAAGAGAAAAATTTCACAGGGGAGCAACTGTCCAAAAATAGTGTCTGTTTTCTTGAAGTTTTAAAATGTAACAGATTTTTAAATCATAGAACAGGCAAGGCAGTTAAAAAAAAAAAAAAGGCAAGTAATAAAACAGAGGCTAAGAATCTCAGAGGCTGGGCAATCCAGGCCCCTCAGGGGCTCCCTGTGCCCTTTAGGGCAACAGTGAAAACCAGCTACCTGAAGCTCTGCTAGACAGCATTGCCTAGCTGCTCTCTGCAGGTCAGGTTGTCTTTCACACTTATTTATTTGTTGTTTTGAATCAAGGTCTCACTCTGCAGCCTTAGCTGGCCTAGAAGTCAGAGAAACTCACCATCCTCTGACTCCTGAGTGCTGGGATTAAAGGCATGCACCACCTGGATGCCTCTTTAGGGCTAAAACATCCCTCATGTGTTGGCATCTGATTACTCCCCTGGGATAGCTACTAGTGCTGTTTCTAAATCACCATTCTTCACTTAAGTAAATACAAAGAGAGTTAGATTAGGTAATTTAGGAACCCAGCAATTAAAACAGTTAAGATAAAGCAAGAAACCCAATCGCTCTCATTTCCTCCAATTAGAAAAGAAGTGTTGGTGAAATTCACTCGAAAAGGTTCTGCCGTGGGGTCCTCCCTGTAGCTGTTTACTCTGTTCATGGACTGTCTTCCAGCTCCAGAAGGCGACTGACTTCTGGAGTCAGTCATCTCAAGTGGAGTCTTTACTCAAATTCTACATTCAGAATGATATGGTCCTGACCATTTCTCTGAATTGGAATCTCTCAGTGGGCCAGGGTTAGTAAAGAGCAACTGAGTTGATAATGGCCTAGTTCATCTCTCTCCATCCATTACCAGCAGAGCAGAGTAATTCTCACATACATACTGTGATTCCAAATATGTGGTTTTCCCCATTTTCTAACTCTTTAACAGTTTTATATGAGTATACATATGGTTTTTTGTTGTTGTTGTTGTTGTTGTTTTTGTTTTTCCAGTTCGTCTATATAGAATTGCTACCTCTTGAAAAACTACAGCTACAAATTCTCACATGTTATGCTCGATGATTTTGCAACTCCTTTGCTAACTGGGTAAAAGGTCATCATTTTTATTACAGAGGTGTCCAGAAGGAAACTGAGCTAACATAGCCGACTCTAAAACATGTTAAAATACAGTGAACAAAACATAGCCAGATGTTATTTAACTCTAAATTATTCTCGGCATGCTCATTGGCTAATGTGCAATCAATGTTTGCTACAACAGGAAATACACATTATTCATTTCATTGCTATATTCATTGCCACAAAAGAAGGTGAGGCTAATTAATTGAACTATTTTAAAAACTTCAATCTTGTTTCACAAATAATATCAAAAAGGATGACTTAATAAAACATTTATATAAAAACAAAAACATATGAAGGATCAAATGTAACCATGACCAAGAGATTAGAATCTATTTGTTAGTAATTGTGAATATTCTGATTGCCAAAGTTAACATGTCTACTGTGGTTTCATACAATACACAACATATATCCTTTAAAATATTTTGAAAATATTTCCTCACCAATATTTGGGTGCTTCAGAAGACGGCAGATTCTAGCTTCCCTTTCCAGTTTCTGGTGATCTGTTGGAAAATGATAGGGAAAAGTAAATTACAAAAAGGCCAAAAATAGTAAGTCGTAATAGGCAGTATGCAGATGGCATAAAGCTGTCTGTTCTTATTTATCTTTTGATTTCTTTTGAAGATTGTGATCATTTGAAGTTGCATTTAGGTGAAAAGTACCCAACGAACCAGCCTAGTATTATGCAGTTTGTATTATCTAGGTGTTTTATTAAGTTAGAGAACACAGCAGAATTCAGACTTGGAATGTTGGACAGGGTATTAGGCCTGGCACATAATAATAACACTCCTGTCTTTGCGTTTGTTTAATCTTTATTTTTATCCAGGGGAGTTTGCGGTTGGTTGGTTTTACAAAACAGGTTCTCACTCTGTACTCCAGGCTTACTTAAATGAGCTCATGATTCTCCTACCTCAGCCTCTCATGTGCTGGGATTAACAGCATTTGGTACACCTGAAATCACTCAGTATAAGGAGATTCATACAGGATGCATATCTGGAAACAGGCCAGTAGTGATGATGTCACTATCATTTTCCCCTGGGAGCAAAGAGGTTCCTGTGTGGTCAACAGGCTGGTTACCATACTTTTCATGGCAAATACACTCCATTTTCTCAGGTAAATAAAATTATAGTGAAAGGAGAGAATCCATTTCCTGTCCAGCAAATGCAGATCACACCATCATGTTAGTTTTGGTATTCAGTCTGTCCTGCCATTTGGTTGGTGTTTTAGTATATGAACAACAACTGACCTTACAAGCATAAGCAGGACAAAATTTAATGGGCTTTTCAGATAACTATAGATACTGTTCTTTAATATTACACCCAAACTCAACACGTAGTAGTTTTTTTGTTTGTTTGTTTTAAGTTGGGTGTCATGTGAAATTTGAAACCTTGCAAATCAAATTTATGAGCCCTATAAAATGAGGTTATAAATGGTAATGTTTAAATAAAATAGACTTTCAACATGTCTTTGGAAAATAGTGGCTCAGTAAATGATGTAATCCTTCCTAATGCTGGCATATTTCACCATAGGCCTTCAAAAAAGTAAGACGTGTTAATATCACCACCAGCCTTATCAGAACAACCTTAAACTTGGGGTATCAGTCACCTCTCAAAGGTAGGTACAACATCCCCTAAATTCTAGTTGTTTTTCCTGAGAGCTTATGATATCAGCAATAAATACTGGCTGCTGCTGTTGCTTTCCCTGAAATGAGAGGCTCACTGTTCATGTCTGTCCACACAAATGCAAATGAGCACAGCTAGCTTTTCAATTTTTTTTCCCACTACCAATAATGCTGGCTAGGGAGCATCTGGTGAAGCCACCACACAGGTTCTTTGCCTGCGCAAACATCACTTGTGGGGACAGAACAAAGGTGCTCCTTCATATGGCTCAACCTTCATGCAGAACCTTACAAAGATGCATCAGCAACAGTTAAAGCCTAACAACTTTGACTTCTTCATTATAGACAATATTAAATGAAATTGATCCCTTTCCTAGTTCTCCTAATGGGACAATGGTGTTAAAAATACCAGGATTGGTACTATGATTTAGCAACATTTCCTTGAGACATGCAAATTCTAGTATTTCTTTTGCATTCATGACACATCACATGTCAACACACACACACACACACACACACACATTTAAAAAAAAACTGTTAAGAGCTGGTTTACAAAAGGCAAATGAGGTCTTAGTTTTATTTAAAAATATGTTTGACCTTATAGATCCACTGAGAGAAATCCAGAAGTTTCCCAAATCCGTAGTTTGAGAACTGCCATCTGCTGCTACACATACAAACTTTCTTCTGGAGTTTTGGAAAATAAGCTGTGCACACACATGTGTGTCTGTGTGTGTGTGTGTGTGTGCGCACGCGCGCGCACGCACATGCACAGTGTGAGAAAAGCAGTGCTTTTATGAAGTAGGAGCATTGCATGGAGCAGCCATGAGTCTATGTCTCTGGACTGACAAACAGCAGTCTGTACTTCCTAAAGTAGTGTATCTTTCGATGGAAACTCTTCAAATTGTGATGCCTTGAATAACTCCTAATTCTTAACTATTTGTAAATATTATTATTTAAAAACATACAAGTAAACACCAAAGGTTACACCAAATTCTGAAAATGTGCATATTTCCATTATCTTAAACAAGAAAAGTGTTTTATGTGGAAGCACATGGAACACATATGCTTAAAAGACTTATAACTTCCTTATGGAGATAAGGAAATGCAAATATATGCTAACCATGTGACAGATACAAATATAAAGCACGACATATATGTGATTCCATATATGCCTAAATGAAGGAAAAAAGGAAGCAAAAAAATCATTACAGACAATAAATTTTACATTGCTTTTAGCTATAGAGGTAAAAGTAATTACAGATTTATTTTACTTAGTTTTTTTTTTTTTTTTTGGTTTTTGTTTCTATGGCTGACCTGAAAGTTGCAATGTAGAACAGAATGACCACAAACTTCTAGATGACTATGAACTTCTGAAAATTCTCCTGCATATACCCTGCTTGTACCTCCTAAAATACTGGGCATTGGGATGACAGGCATGTGCCACCATACCTGTTTCAGTGATTTTTATAAAGTCAACTCTTACTGGCAGAGCTGCTGCCTTACAAATTTTATATGCTGAAGTCCTAATACCCCTGATCCACAAATGTAACTAAAGTTGTGGATGGAATGTTTGAAAAGGTAAATAAAACAAGGTCAGTGGTGTGTGCTCTAAATTAATATGGATTGTGTCTATGAAAAAAGAAGAAACTGGGACATTGACATGTGTGCAAACAAAACAGCGTGGACAGGGACAAGATTGCTATCCATATGCGGGGGAGAAAGATCACAGGAAAAATATGTCTCTGACACCTTGGTTGTAGACATCCAAATTGCAAAACGTGTGAAGAAATAAATTCAGTCTGTGGACTTTGTTACAGTGGCTCAAGCAAACTACCAAACCCATGTAACAATAGCCTTCTATTGCTGTGAGTCAAACATCACAAATGTAGAAGCAGAACATCATATACACCTAGAATCGGTTTCTGTGGGTCAGGATCCTGGAATTGACTACACCTTCCAATCAAGGGAACTCAGATGCTTCCACGTTTGCACACTGGTTGCCACCATGCAGTTGTACTAAAGGCCACTAAGTTGTACTCAGTTCTCAGCTTGGCTGGACCCAGCCCTCAGTTTCCAGCCCATGTCATTGGATCAAAGCTAGCTACCATAGAATAGTTGGGAAAGCAAAGGTGAAAGCCATTCTCTTATTTAGCCTAAGCATGGGAGGCACAGTCCATATTTGTCATCTTCTGTTGGTGGGAAGTAAGACATTGGACTGTCCTGAGTCTGACAGTGGCAAGGGTTACAGGATTCTTCTATCGTCTGTCCACCACGGCTCACTTTCCAGCACTGCTATTTCGCACCTTTCACTCTCTGAGCAGCTTCACTGCCTTTTTTTGCTCACACCCAGTCATCAAGCTCTAGATCTCCTGTGAATCATAAGGTATTCTGCACTCTGCCACTGGGGCGTGTTATGACATTGCCTCCCAAAATGATGATATATGTAAATCCTAGTTTTCACTAAAGTGAGGATTTTATAATAGTGGATATGCATATCACCTGGTGTGACTCAAATTCAACATCAAATCCACAATTTTACTATTAAAGGGAGTAGGGAATTGAGGAGGAGGGATTAAGTACCTGTTCCTTCAAAAGCACATCTGTATTTATCCTGCTGAAGTATAAATTCATTATACACTTAAAGTTTCCTTTTCTTTTAATTCAGCCAGCAGCAAAACACCTACTTTCTATCTCATTATTCCCAAGCACTCAAAACTACAATAGCAAGAGACAAGGTTAGTTATAAAAGAGATTCATGATACAGTTTAGCAGTATTTGAAGATCTGGGAAGTTCTGCTCGTTTGCTTGTTTGTTTTTTAGACAGTGCCTTATGTAGTCCATGTTGACCTTAAATTCACTATAGAGCTGAGGTTGGTCTTGAACTTCTGATCCTTGTAGCACTTCCTGATTGCAGGGTTTACAAGCACGTGGTTCTAGGGAAGGAACTCAAGGCTTTGTACACAATAGGCAAGCACTGTATCAACTGAGCTACATCCCAATACCTGAAGATGTTATTAGCCATGGGCCCTGAATCTAATACAGCACCACCCTACCTTGTTTTTTAAATATTTGTTAAAGCACTCTTGCTATAACAGTTGGGCCTCATTTTTCCTGTGAATCTAAAAGCCACATTTATATGAATAAAATTATATTTCAAGCTGTGATTTCTTTCAGATTTGATAAGACACAGGGAATTAGCAATATGTGGCTGAGGGAGGGACTGTCATAAATAATGCTATAAAGAAAACACATTTTCATCCAGTTTTGACATGGAATAGCATCACCAAGAACAGACCTCTGGATTGTAAAACAGTTTCTAAGGATATGGGTAAGTATACTCACTGTTTCTAGGTTAAGATACTGTAGTAAGATAATTTAGTTCAAACAAAATGGAAACTTAAAATTCAGACATAGTGAAGTAGTGACTCCTTCATGTGTTCAAGAATAAAATTAAGTAAGCACGCAAAACATCTGACCACACATGTGAGTGCTAGCCCTCAACTACTTTCACACAGCAATGCTGGTGCCATGAAAATGATAGAAAGCAACAACTTGCTGATTTGCCACTGGGAAGGGAATTGTCACTGACTTCCCCCCATTGCTTTGTGAAATCATTACTAGCACTATCAGCTGGTTCTCATTCAGAGTAGGACCTGGGGATCCTAGGTGTGACTACCAACAGCTTTGCCTATTGGACCATCCTAGCACAATGCTGCGGGACATCCAGGCAGAGGGAGAGTTTGGCCTTCACTCATGATCATCAATCACCATCCATTTTACCATGCCCTTTCATGAATGTACAATTTACAAATAGCTTGGGTTTGCCACAAACAAAAGAATTTAATTGCCCCCAGATTCCCTTCCACACAAACGGAAGCTCACTCT